GACAAGTCTTTATGACTTCCACGTTGACTTGAACGGGAAGATGGTGCCGTTCGGAGGTTACTTGCTGCCGGTAATAATTTATACCCGGAAAACAACGTATCTTTTAATCTCGTAGACATTAATAATCTGTTTGTATCTGAAACTATTTTCACACTCAAATAAGGATGCGGGCTATAGTTACGCAGTAAAATGGACTTCCATGTGATAACAAATAAAATGACAAGCTCAAGTCAGTATTCCATATTCTCCCATCCGATTTGTTTCGCAGCTTTCAAAATATTTGTAATACTATATTTTATTTCAGATGGTTGTTTTGTTTCACTGACGTTCCACCATGTTTATGAATATGGAGTATCGACAATCAGACTGTAAGATTTTGTGCAGACGAAAATAAATAGGGTTTTAAAGCGTTTTATTACTTTAAGTTAGAGTTGGAAAATAGTGAGTGGGGACGTGCTTTGTCATGTTGAAATAACTCGCTGCTTAAATTTATCATCAAAATATAAGCAGCCAAATTCAGGCTGAAGATCGAAATATCTGAACACTGCAGTTTGGCTTCACAGGCCGTCATATTTGAATGTACATGTACGTAGTTGCGCGATTGTACAGACAGACGTCACTTCTTGGTTTAACTCATCATTAGGACTATTTACTCACGCCAGTAGTAACAAAATGTTGGTCAAACTAATGTGTGAGCCAGTGGTTCATCTAGAACGAATTGATAATTAAGATAATTCAGCACAAATGTGTGTCAAAGGGCCAATATAAACCGACAAAGCTGAACATAGACGTAAATTATTTATGATATCGTCTTTGTAACCCTCTGGGTATAGTAGTCACTGGACTAGAGTTTAGACGAGCTGAAGATTTAATTAATGTTTGCTGATGATTTTGGGTTTGTGTCAGGTGAGTTACGGTGCCGAGGGCATTGCGACCTCCCACATCCACACTCGGAAACACTGCTCGGTCTTCGATGTGTCGCACATGATGCAGACCGAAGTGCGCGGTCGAGACAGGATTGCCTTCCTCGAAGGCGTCACGACAGCCGACCTGATCAACATGGCCGATAACACTGCCACACTGTCCATCTTTACCGACCCCCTCACAGGCGGCATACTTGATGATCTCATTATCACGAAGACGACGCTTGGGTACTACTACCTAGTGTCGAATGCGTCTAGAAGGTCCCACGACCAGAAACTTTTGAAAGAAGCTCAGGTGAAACGAGCATATTTTTGTTTTGTAAAATGCGGAATGTTTTATTGACCAGAACGTTATTGAAATTTCTATGAGGACCATAAATTGATAACAAGATACAGTATTTTATATTACTTTTTGTATGTAATTTGCATTTTTGCTGGTCACAGTGGCCACGCGATCTGGGGCTTAGGTCTTGCCCGCTTAGGTACTGGGATCGTAGTTTGGAATTCCGCTCAAGCCATTGAAGATTGTCGTCGTGTTTATGTGTTGTGTTGTGCTGTGTACGCACAGGCCTTGCGATGGGCTGAGGACTGCTTCCATATGTCTAAATAAGTTAAGACCTCCCCCCCCCCCAAAAAAAACCCCCCCCCCCGTATGCGAGGAGGTCAAGGTCCTTCAAGGACTGTAGAGCCATGGAGTAAGTAAGTGATGCATACACACATGTGGATACAATTTTAGAACTAAGTGAGGAGTGGATTATAATTTTTGTATGTGTTTGTCAATTTTGTATTACAAATGTTGAAAGTAGCATGCCTTGATGTACAAGAAACTTACAATGAACTAGTTGCTGTAATTTTTAGTTATTTCTAACATGATTTTCTCAAGTATTTTTTCGGTGTAGCTGAGTTATTTTTTAAATACAGGAATGAAACGTAGGGGAACATTTCCGGTATTGTGACGAAATGGGTTTGAATTCCATTGCCGGGGGCAGAGAAGGATATTGTAAAAACCGTAAAGCAGGTTTGTCTTTAGTAGAAATGAGATTCAAATTTCGATCAGACTGTCGGCTACTTTGACCGACCTTTCTGTGATTCACTCTTTTCTGCCGGTACGAGCCCAGTAATTAGACCTCAACCGCCGCTCTCTGTTTTCCCATTTACATTGATAACGTTCAATTTATGTAGCTGAAATATCGGTACTAAAAAAGTAAGAATCAATAAATACACAGTCAAAGATTTACATGAAAAACACCCATACACGTCAATCGAAAATTTTTCTCAAACATACTTTACAGTGCGAAATTAATTTACTCTTGAAATACAAAGAATGTTTTCGTCGATAATAATAGTACTTAAAAGTGTTTATATTTGGCGTTAAAAATGGCTGTGTTAATTTATTTTGAAGAAAAGTACCAATGTTGATTGGCAATTATATTCCCAAATTCTGTTTTTAATTTGTTTTTCGGCAATTTGTAATAATAAATGTTATCGGCCCGACAGACAGAGCGTGTAAAAAGCACCCATTTGAACTCCGCGCAATACATGGATTGTTTCAGGCTGCGATGCGAGCTAAAGGTAAAGACGTAGAACTTCGTTTTCTGGACCCAGACGAGCGAGCTTTGCTGGCAGTGCAAGGTCCGGACACGGCCAAGGTCCTGCAGCCTTTAACTGACGTCGACCTCAGCCACCTCTACTTCATGGAAAGTACTCTGGCTACAGTGGCAGGAGTTAGTGGCTGTCGCATCACGCGTTGTGGTTACACTGGCGAAGATGGAGTTGAGATATCGATACCTGCTGACCAGGCCGTCAAGGTAGCCGAACTGCTGCTTGCTTCGGAGGTGGCACTAGTAAAACCAGCTGGGCTAGGAGCAAGAGATTCGCTCAGGTAAATGACAAACATTTGAGTTCGGTGAAGGGTCTTCTCATACGTTAATATTCATGACATTTTAGTTTCCAAAATATTTTAAAGAACGAACGCGTTTTCTGAGTCAGATGACTTTTGCCACTCAAGCGCCTTTATTCAACCACCTTCAATGTACGTTGTCCTATTACCACGATACCTTCACAAATAAAATAACAAAAATATTTATAAGATATATCTCTTCTGGGCTGTTGCGCCGTGTAGTCTGGTAGGAGTTTGTAGATGTTTCATAAGTGCTTACTGAGTAAGACCTGATAATGGAGGCAGCTAGCACCTCCGAAACGTCGGTAAACTTCCACCAGTCTGCCCAGTGCAACAACCCATATTGGCCGCCTTGAGAAATCTTATCTCAAACTGCCAAGACTCTTGGACCCACAAGTTTGACTCTGTACAGGAAGAGGTAACTGTGTTCTACGTATTTTAGCATTCAGCAGCTGTTGTATAAAGCTTGCATAGTACTTTTATAGGTTTCGTTTGGATCTCAACATAAAACTGCGAATCGATTTCTTAAACATTGTCAAAAGTCTAAGTTTTGTAATGGTGGTGTGGTGTGTTTTGGACCAGAGGCATTCTTATGCGTATGATCTGCAGGTTAGAGGCTGGCATGTGTCTCTATGGGAACGACATTGATCACACAATAACGCCTGTGGAAGCAGGACTTTCCTGGTTAGTGGCTAAGCGACGTAGAACAACAGCTGACTTCCCAGGAGCCACTGTGATCACAGATCAACTTCGAGACGGACCGAAAAGGAAACGGGTTGGACTGACGTCGAGAGGTCCCTCGGCCAGGGCAGGAGCCGCTGTGCTTGATCTGACGGATACGTCAGACGATGACATCGTCGGCTACGTTACTAGCGGCTGTCCGTCTCCATCACTGGGGGGAAACATAGCAATGGGGTATGTGAGAAGCGAGTTGGCGAAGTCGGGCACAAAAGTACTGCTCAGAGTTCGTGACAAACGTGTCGAAGCAACAGTGTGTAAACTTCCTTTTGTGACTTCGAAGTATTACGTGAGGCAAGACAAGTAACTCGTCAGAACAGTTGTTATGAATCTTAAAAGCTACGCTGGAGGCTAGCTAGTAGGGCCTTTACAGAGTAGGCTCAAGAAAGACAATAAAAATAAATATATCAGAATAAAATTAAGTGATTAAAATATTATGAGAGGTAAGACTGTTAAACTAATTGGCTGCAATAGAATCGAAAATGAAGACAGGTGATGGGTCTCAAAAGTAATGCAACTCGAAGTTTAAAGACAAATATTTTGTTAGTGTGAAGGGAAATTTCAATTTGCCTTGTCCAGCTGCAACCCTGTTATTCCAGCAAGTGGGTCGTTTGAGTTTCCAACTCGTTCAGTTGTATTTGTAGCAAGCATGATGCCGTTTTCAACATGGCGGAATGTTATTTGCTGAATATTATTTTCGAACGCAGTCGTATAAAGCGGTTAAGCAGATACGTGAGGTACACCTGCCTGGTGCTCCTGTGCCAAGTCAACCGTTTATCGACTTGTTATCTAACGACTCCATTCAATCTTCGCATATTTTCTATGAATATGTGGAAACGTGTTGAGTTATATCTGCAATGGGGCGAGGTAAACTTTTATCTCATGTTGTAATTGTGGGATTACAATTTCACTAAGTAAATATAATCTGTGTAATGAACATGACATTAACTTTGAGTTGCGTGACATTTGGAAGACGCCATATGACACGAAAATTTGCAGTAAAATACAGATCATTGACACTGAGAGGTTAGGGACTTCTGTAGAAAATATGGAGAGTTAACTACATCTAGAGAATTAAAACATATATTTAATCATAATCTTGGATAATTCATTACAATGATGAATGATGATTATACGTAAAGGAATTTGTCAAGGTTTCCATAGTAAACAGATCATTCCATTCACTAAAGTTAAGTGTAGGCTAACGAAGCTAGCATCTGCATTTTGAGTAAACCCCGATTAAAGCAATTAATACAGATTGTTATTGATTCATTCATGTAATTTTTGTATCATTAGCGAGTGAAAATCTTTCTCGTTAAGTGATTTGCTTCATGTCTTAGTTTAGTACTAATCAATTAAGCACGGCATTTGGTCGCTAAGACAGACCACAGATAAACTTTTGTTTAGGGTATCCGTGCTGGTGTTCTGGGTAGTAACGTCGTGTGGACTTGTAGACAGATTCTAACGTTTCAGAGGCCCATACTGCCTCCATCTTCAGGACCAACATCGTGGTCACTGTCACATTATTCGGTACGAAATTACGAATTGTGGAACCTGCAAAGAAGCAGTTTTTGTACGCTTTATGTTCCGTCTTCATTAATATTCCTTTCTTTTAATTGTCTTTCCTTCCTCCCTTTATTTCTTGGTCTTTGTTTTCCTTGCATTTTGATCTGTTTATTTATTTCCTCCTTTTGTAAGTTTATGAGCATTGTTTGATGTCATTGTTGTATAAGTTTTGTTGCGTTAAAATGTCTAATGGGCTATAATCAACCGTCGGAGAAATTTGATCCTGCTTAACACAAATCCTACATGGTCTGGAACCCGGATATCCGTTCTTGAGGAAATTTGTGTGTTATATCTTCTTCTAACTGCGCTCCATACGCGACTTTAAATTTTGAACAGCGTCTCTGGTTACACTGTACACGAGCAGAAATGATTCATGAGGAGCCCTGCCTTCTGGAAAGTTCCACTACAACGACGGAGAATGCTTTGTTTGGGGAAAACCGTGTAATTCGCTGTCAGTTGCTCAAGAGGAGAATTTTAATTTCACGCAGGGTACGCAAGATACCCTTTTAGAATTGAAATCATGTTGATATGGAAACGGCGTTCAATTTGCATACAAATATAGAGTCTCGAATGATTTCCTGGGGTTTGCTGCGTGTTTGCATTTAAGATGATTTGATCTATTCAGGGCGTGTTCTCGTAGAAGACATTTCTAGTACTTTTTTGAGTGGGTTGGGGGGGGGGGGGGGTAACCACAAAACTGAAAAGATTTATCTACTTCTATTATGCTATTACGTTGAATGCTTCAGCTGATTCTAAATCTGAAATTCTCCGTTCATCTGTTCCCGTTCACTCACCCGCTTTTCTGCTATGGGGAAGGTAAATAATCCGCTCAGAGACGGAATGAAGCGGCCGAACAGTCTCGTTCAGAAACTTGAGCTAACGGGTTTAATTCACCAACTGTGACAGAGCTTGTTCGTGCAAGATACGGTAAAAGCCAAAGAATTCTACTTTGGGCTTTGGATAATGACTATTTTAATTTCTGTATCGATTTTCGCTTTATTTAACAACTGTTTTTCAAGTGTTTAATTTATGTAGCATTGAGAATTAGGGTGATATGTGAATGATGGATTAGAAAGGATACATATTTGGAAGGAAACTATGGTGGAATGTTCTAATGTACGTTACGAGGAAAATGGTTTAGAATCGAATGGGGTACATCGGCTTCTGATGGTGTTAGTTTGTTGGGTGAAAATACACATACCATAAAAACACAGTTCTATTAGATGCGAGTATTAAAGTTGGCCTAGAAGTAAACACAGAGGAAACTATATTTAGTAGCCTATAGCCTACCTTCGGGATGAGACGGTAAATTGTAGTTCAGTGTCACGTAAGCGAATTTTGACCTGCGTTCAGAATAAGAATGATTGGCTCACGGTTCCAGTGTCTTATGTAAGGTTTATTTTACTTATAATGGTAAAAATAATCCCTGAATTTGGCTGCCTTTCGTCTTGTAATTCATTTTAGTCATAACTGTCGATAGGTAGTACTATCGATAATGTCGACAATGGCAATCCAAGTGCGGAGCAGCTGGAATAGTAGCACTGTGCTGCCTCTCCTGGTATCGGAGTAAACTTAACCTCTTGTATCGGGTAGATCAAGTGTAAGTAATAAGTTCTTCCGAGCTACGTCTTAAATCAAATGGGCAGTTCTCGTTGCTGTTTTCATGGTATGTTTTCACCAGTGCAGTGGTATCGCGATGTTTTTATCGTCCTGACAACATAAGGAAGTCTGTGGAAGAAACATGTTGTGAGTATTTTCTTAAATAGTATAACATATTTTAATGGAGGATTTAATTTATGTAAAATGGCTTTGGTGTTAAGAATTTGGTTCAATTAATGTTTCAGCAATGTTAATCGTGCTGAAAACCACCCAAAATATGAAGATGTTTTATAGCTCTGTGACAAATATTACACACATTCATTTTTAGGAAGAGTTGTCTTGTAGGAACTTTAACAGAGTTTCTGTGTAGACTTTTCCCACGAAATCAGTGTGGGTGAACTATGTCAGTGTTAGAACTCCCTTGGGTTAATGCACTGATTTTACTCTCACTGTACTTCAGTAGCCCCATCAGATTTGTTTGAGGCTGCAGATGTTCTCATCAGTAACTTGTTTGCTACAGTATCCGGTTCAATTATATTGTCTGCAGACAACTTTCCTGTTTTACCAGCTTCTATCAACGTAAGCGGTATATAGCGTGTGCAGATGAAGAGTGGTTATGTTTTTGGCTGCGTATTTATATTTTTACCCAGTTTTCTTTCATAGCTTCAAGTAACCTGACCGCAGAAGCACTGGCAATGAAATTGTTTTGATTCTGGCTTCTCTGTATTACGTAAGTTAACTAGATATCATTGAACTGTATTATTAGTTCGTACTGCGTCTTGTTGAGCTTCCACGTTTCAGGATCGTTGGGTTTTGTCAGTTTGTAAGCTTCGACCACATTCATTAGCGTAGATGTGGAGCTACATATACCTAGTCGAAGTGTTTGTGTGTTTTGAACAACATATAGCGTAGTCTGTACCGTTATCAAACTGAATTGACTTAGTCCCTTCAAGTACTTTTAACGAGTATCGTACAAAATAAACGAATTTAATTAGTTTTATAAACAACAAATACAGCAAACTCCATATATTATTAAAATGTGTGATGAAGCATATGTAACAACATATATTTGTTACAAAAGTGGAGTTTTATTTCAGTATTGAATATCCACGTCCTTAACAATTTAACGAACATACGGTTTACTTATTTCGATGTGTGATGCCCGTGTTCAGATGAAACAAAATTGGTTTTCTATGTAATAACTATACTGCTACAAAACTTAAAGAATCTAAAATCAGTTAAACAGTGAAAATTTAAATTTTAATACGAATCTTAACTGTATGTGCCTCAGTTACAATTCCACAACGGCCAGAATATTCGTTATAGCTCAAATAGCTGAGTTACGAACGCCATGGTACTCCATCGTGAGGGCGATGAGTGATATTCAGTTTTAATGAAAATATTTTTGGAGATTTTAGGTTCTCACGCCTGCGAGTATAAAGATGATTGTCTTCTGGGTTGTTGCGCCGTGTACTATGGTTGAAGTTTACCGACGTTTCAGAGGTCTGACCAAAGGTTGAGTGACAAAGTATTTACACATTTCAAACAACTTGCTGACAGTTCCTGGCGTGCTTCACTATATACGTAATTTATCTGCATTAGAGACTATTTGCAGTCAGGCTCGACAGATGATATTACAGAAGTACCGAACGAAAGCAAAAATTGCCCGCAATATATTAAGTTAATCGTTCCTTTCTGGTGTGCTATAATAAACCGAGAATATCAGCGATCGCAATACATCAACAGTGATTGATGTTAGCGGTTCTGATATTTCTATTGTAACTGCGAGACTCGGCGAGTCTTGCATTACGTGTGTAATTTCTGAATCAGTACAAAAAGTTGGTCTACCAAGTTCATTAATGGGAATCAAACGCTGCGGTAGAACTGTACATAGTGGTTTTGAGTGGACTTCGCTCGTACATGTGCAAATATTCAGCGTCTGCAAAATTGTTATATCGGACGGGATAGATAAGTCACTCAGCGTCGCTGTGGGCGGATTGGTTGGGGTTTAATTTTCTGCAGAGGTGGGTTGTGTTTCACGTCTCATTTTCTCATTTTTATTTCTTTTGATGAAAATATACTTTTTCATAGTAACGAAATCTTTATAAATTGTATAAATTCAAGGTAATTGATCGATTATCCGTCTCTTTTGTAGCTTGAATACATTGTACCTTGTAGCTAAAAATAGTGCGTGTAATCGGAAATAAAGTTTTTAAATTAAACCTCCGTTATATTTCAAACAAACAATGCTGCTTATAAAAATATATGGAGAGAAATATTTTAGAACGGTTTCATTTTAACATTAACGTTAATGCCTATAAGTCCCTATCAGATTTTTCGACTAAATATTGATCTGAATTTCTCTTTTTTCTCATGCATGCTACATGTCATGCTCATTTAATTACCTCTGATTTAATTGCCGTAATAATACGTATATAGCAAAGAAGTTTCTGAAAAATAAATATTAAGATGATGACAAGACCTGGCTGAATCAGTCCCGATGTGAATGTTGAGACACTTTTCCTATCTGATGTACGACATTGCGTTACAAAGTGAAGCACCAATCGTATGAACTTACAGAGCAATTCTGATGCCTGTTCCATCATTTACATAATTAAAATCAGTAAACTTAAAACGTGCCAGAAGTCAGTGTTTCACTTAACTTCATAAATCTTGTTACTGAGTCAGAAAATCGGTTCCCGAACAGGATTAACTAGAGTTTGTGTGATTTTCCTTATTCTATTCATCAGTCTGGTCAATGACTAATAACTTTATGTTAACATTCGCCCCCTCATTCCACATGAGTACACTTAATATCAAGAAAATCTCTGTTTTGAATGTAGTTATCCAGTAAATCATACACCTTTATTAACAACAGACAAGACGTATGAGCACTTGTATTAACCCGTTGATATCGAAGCTCGCCTAAATGATATGCAAGATCTCAATCCGTACCTCAAAGAAAACGCAAACATTACAAACTCTACTGGTTAATGGAGTTCACGCAGAATGCAATATGAAACTGATAAATGAGAGTACAAATTAAAGACGACAGTGTTCTGGGTTATTAACGCCGTGTAGTATCGAACAAGTTGCCCGACGTTTCAGAGGTGCATACTCCCTCCTCAAAATCTGGAATTATTCAATTACTCTTCAGACCGCGTTCCTGATATGTCACAGATGTTTGTAGAAGAGTAATGAGCACACTCGGAATGTATTTACTAGAAGAAGTAAGATCATGCCAAACATGTGCGATAAAAGAAATTAACAATGTCATTACATCAGTATATTTTAACTTTGTAGGAATTTGAGGTTTTGTCCGCGGTGAGTCTGAAGATGGTTGTCTTTCATTCTAATTTATTTGAAGATAATTTCTGGTCAGGAACGGATGTATTTCCTAGTGTAATAGTAGGCCCTTATGAATAATAGTTATGCAGTAATAATCGTAAATAAATCAAACCAATATTATTGTAGATAGGTATGACATTTTCTTACATTTTAATACACCTTTAAAATAAATTATTCTCATTCTGCGGCCGTAGTGTCTTCATTCATTATAAAATCACTATATTTGTTGAAGTTAAACTAAACTCAGAAACTTTCTCTTTCGTTTGGAAGGTAAGAAGTGCGACGTTGCATAAATAATAATAGGAATTTTGTCACCAGCTTCATCGCCAGTCCCTGACTTCGAGTAAAAAAAAACAAGCGAGCTGAGAAACGCGAGAATTGCGCTAACTTTTCTCCTAGAAATTTTAAGTTAACTCTTGGAATGTTAAAGAAGTTCCCTGTCTGCATAAATGTATAATAGGCATAATACGATGTCGGATCTAGAACAATATCTACTCATGATGATGCTGATGATAATAAGATTCTTTACTCCCTTTCCTTCACAAAAGTAAGTGCAAACTACAACCTGCATTTTTACCACTAATGAATGCAAAATAGTGTGAAGTAATTAGTAATATATGTTATCGTATCCTAGCCTTTTCTATGCCAAAGTAAAATCAGTCGTCTACCTTAAATTATTTTATTTTGTCTAGAACAGGGGTTTCTAACCTTTTCCAGACCGAGGGCCAAATATATATTCTTATTCTTTCGCCCTACGGATATTGAAGAGGACAGTTTATTGAAACTGTTGCATTTATTAAACATGTTACCAATGTACTACTATAAATAGGTTCAGATATCAATAAACAAGTGAAATTTACTCGTTTTTGTTTAAGTAATCTTTCAGTATAAGGCTTAATTTCTGCTATTCGGATGCATCCCTCGTGTTTCTCATCGGTACGACGGGTTATATTTCTTGATTTGGCGTTCTTAGCTGAAGAGTTATCTATAGCGGAAAGTTACTGCCTAATGCTGACAGCTGATAACAATAAAACATTCATTATCGTGCGGGCTGATACAGTAGATAAGTTATAAAAATACGTGCGGTCCTTAGAAAGTACAGTTGATAATCGCGGTTGAGAAGCCATGCTCTGAAATAAAGAGATAAGAAAGTAGTGCATTGCATAGAGAATGGAAATAATTTAATATCAATACATTCTGGTACAGGCTTATTAACCACAAATTCCACACCACGGATGCATTTTATAACAAGTGAAATGTGAATTAACTAAATTTCCTTAGTAAAATCCTAACGTTCAACGATAACTTTAAAACCCGTAGTTGGTCACCATTCTGGACCAGTTCTAACCACTTCCCATTTTAACAGCATGTCTTCTAAGATCCGTAATAATTTGTTTACTCTCCTCTCTTCTTCTTCGTCTTGCAAATGCATTTCTTTCAAGCGATCTAGCAAAGCATCTCCACCTCTTTAACCACTTTCCAGAATACTAGACGTGGAATTTATTATGCTGATTGTTGCATAGTACGCAAGTCCATTCTTGTGAAATATTCTAATTGCCTAATTACTTTATTGTTATTATGTCTAAATCAATTTCTGTATGTGGGATTTGAGGTTTTCACGGTGGTAAAGGCGACGTTGTTGGTATTCTGGGTTTTAATGAGACGTGAACTTCTAAGACGCAGTGTGATTATCCGAAACGTCAGTATTCATGTGGAAATAATATGATTTTATGCCCACAACCCAGACGACCAACATGGAAGTTACTTCAAGAAAAGTACCTTTTTCTTTAAACAGCGATTCGCCGGAATGGTGAGCAACTGGAATTTATTTTTATAGTTTAAATGCGTCATGTTTGTGTTTTAAAATTCAAATATATAATATAATTCAAGTCTATACACAAACTTTAAATTGTTGATGTTAAAATTTAAAATTAATATTGATATTTTGCGCTATTCATCGTTATTACGATGTTAACATCAACAATTTAAAGTTTGTGTATAGACTTGAATTATATTATATAATTGGAATTTATTTATTATTAATGTAATGAAGGAACCATAACCGGCTAATTAAATGATGCAGGCTCCTATGGAGTACTGAGAGTTCTAAGCTTATCAGAGAAGTCCTTTTTACAGATTAGTGTCATATTAATGAAGGCCTACCGTCTTAGGCCCCTATCATAGACCATACAGAACTGGATGTCACTGGAGCATTTAACAAATATTAAATGTGAGATTGTGGCGAACGATTCGGAATTATTACGGTCTGCGTTCGTATTATAACTTGTTAGAGGTAGTTTTACTTAAGGACGAGAACTGTCGAAGTGGTTGACATAGGCTACATTTTCATTAATTCGTGTCATGGGTTTAATCATCGGCTTATATTCTCATATTTATTTATTTATTTAGTGTTCTGTCTGACGACAGGTCCATATGAACAGGATCCTTCCATCCTTTTCTCGGACTGGGACCTGTTCATATACGTTCTTGGCAGATGATCCAGAAGTGGTTTGCCATTGCCTTCTTCTGTGTGTGAATGGAGTAATTGTTGGGATGCCACGGAGAAACCGGGGAAGCCCCCCGAGGAAAACTCCGTGTTGCCTAGACCACGGCCTTGCCCAACACAAGTTATAAATTCGGGCACCGCAGGGAATCGAATTTATAACTTATATTATATTCTCATATACTTAATATTATTAAAATTTGAGGCCTCGAAGGTGAGATTTATGATGGTCAAAATGAAGCAATGTTTTCTCTGAGTACTCCCTTGGTAATCATTCCATCATTGTTTCATACTCAGCTATTACCACCCCACGACGTGTGCGATAGCCCTGACCAAGCAGCACGTTATCATACCCTCGGTTCTAGGTTAGGGGGACTCCATCTCTGACCCCTGACTTCATTAGTCTCATAATAAGGTAGTTTATTGACTTACAGGTCTATAAAACACGTTATATTACTTCATATACGAATAAAGACAAAACAATAATATCAAATATATTTCCAATTTATTCGTAATGAGCAGTTATTTCGTAACGAGTACTTCGTATTCTTTGAATGGTATTTCCAATCCATCGTATGGGATGTAGCAGACACGATGGCTTGGATGCACCTGGAAATGAAGAAAAGCGATTATATTACGGGGACTGCAACTTTGGAATTCTAGGAGCAAATTTTGGAAATGTAGTTAAATAAAAGCAGTAAATGTAAAACATAGAAGCAGTCCTTACAAGTGACAGGAATATTTTATAACAACAAAACTATAGTAAAATAATATCAGTTATAACAAAATAAATAAATAACAACACCACGAACAGCAGAGCAATGGAAAGCAACAAGACTGTGGGAGAAATATCTTTGTTCTACATCCAGATATTGTGGGGTTACGCATGCGCACATCACTTGCCTACCGGGCTGCCTATGTCACAGTTTACTAAACTTTGGCGGACGGAAAATATTCTATTATTTATGTCATCGTTTTCATGTTGCGTGCTCCAAAATCACGTCCATCGTACAGTCAGAGTTCTCCACGGCCATATCTCAATCTCGGTGAGGATAAAAACATTTTGTCTCCTTTAGTCAGATGATTTCTCTGCAGAAACAAGAAACTCAAACTTTTTGAAGACACGTAACACGTGTGTGTACCTTTCCTGGGGTGAGTGTGCCGTCGTGGGAAACGCGGCCCACGTACAGTCGCTCTCCGATCTTGGTGCAGCCGACATGTAGGGCGTTTGGCGGGACTCTCCCGTCTCTCGCGGTCTTCCATAATGACTCTACGTTGCATAGTACCTGCAACACGTGTAAACCATCCACAGTTTAGAAAGCATTTACAATTTGGCTTCATTAATAAATACGCGTTGTTTAAATTTGAATATGGTGATAAATGTTAACAGGAAAAAGTGATTATTATATTTGGAGTCTACCCAAGTGCCTGGTCAGAAATGAAGGCCCTAAGATTAGACCGAGGGTATGATAATGTGCTGATTGGCTAGGTCTATCGCACACCACGTGGGGCGATATTAGATGAGTACAGAGCAATGGGCGAACGGCGGATATTAACGGGGGTCGAACGGCATTTACCTCATAATGCATAACCGGATGCTCTTGGCCGTCGTAGGAGACGTAAGCTGTTCCTTGGTTGGGAACCTGGCATAATTTCGGTCTTATATAAAGCCCGTCCAACGAAGAGAGGACCCCCGTCTTTGTCATAACCTGCATGAACAGCCCCCTCTGGCACGGACCCATTTTGCGTTGCGACCCAGCGGACACCTGGAAAAGAGTACGGACCAAATTTAATTCGTTTCAATAGGCTTTTGATTGCTCAGACTTTTTAACATCAAACGACGAAACTGTATTCGAAGGTGACTGTCTTCTAGGAAGTTGCGAGGTGTAGTGTGATGGAAATTGACCAATGTTTCGGAGGTGCTTGCTGTCTCCATCATAAGGGCAATCGACATTTATCATTACTTTTTATTAAATACATTGTCGTCTGATTTTAGGGCGATTGCTGTGATGGTGGAGGCAGTAAAACCCTCTGAAACGTTGTCATAAGTTACGGAATTTTATTAAAGCCTTCTGTGCACAGAGAAATCAAAGAAGGCAATATATTAATTAAAATCTCACATTTTTTGTAAAAAGTCGAACCCTTTCGTTCATTTACCTCAGAGACATATTTTCTGGATTCACGGGTTTTACGTGTTATCCCACTCTGTGTTTTAACACTCAATAACACTGACACAGGAGGTGCATGTAGCATGCATTGGATAAATACAATTAAAAAACTTGTTTGGAAAACTGACGGAAAACACCTCTTGGAAGATATAGACGTAGATGAGAGGATACTGAAATTAAAGTTACATCAGTAGGATGTGATGGTGTGCACTGGATTCAACTGAGTCTGGTTATGGTCCAATGGGGAGCTTTGTGAACACCGGGTTTCATAAAGGCGTGAATTTTCTTGATCAGCGGCATGATTACAAATTTCTGAAAAAGGACTTCGTCCCATGGCATTAGTATTCACAGAGTGCATGGAATATGTAAGAATACAAATGAAATTTGTCGCATGATTTGCGAGGACTGTTTTACAGTATGAACTATAGTCGGCGCAGTAGTTTTTGATCGGTGGAGAAGCTGGCGAACGGGCCTACTCTGTATTTCTGAGGTGGCACGGTTAACGTATTTCTTTTGTTTGGGCGTTCAGTCCGATAAGCTCCTCGGTGCAGTCAGCATTATACTATCTCACAAGTGACTCGCTCCTAGCCTTCCCCTTGAAAATTCCACCGGATAAAAACTACTGTGCCGACTATACTATGTCGTTGATTCTTGGTGTTCACCTTCTACGTCACATTCACACAATCTCTTCACACTAATATGGTCATCATCAAATTCAATTCCCTGGTTTTATGTCATTGCAGTGAGGATAGTATTATCTCCTCCCGATGTCGAGAAATAATGATAACACTGTATTAAAACGTTTTATATTAGTTAAAAAGTTAAAATTTCAAAGATGTTAAAGAGTTTTTTAAAAATGTTTGTTAAAATATCTCTGCAGAGCTTGTTGACTTCCGATGTGTTTCCTCCGTAAACAGATTTCTTTTATTTACTAGATGTGATATGTATATATGTGTATATGATCTGCACTGCACTGACATAATACCAGGGAAGTGAACGTGTTGATGGTGACATTGGATCGAAACGTTTATTGAATCGACAGTGAACAAACAGATCGTGTGAAAAGTAACGCACAAAGGAGAAACCAAGAATCAATACAACACACCCTGAAGCTACACTACATAATTTGTGGTTATTGCAATGTCTCAGGCCTTCGATTCTGTATCTGTTGCCAGTGTGCGTTACGTAATGTTGCTGTACTTACCAGACATTGTGCTTTTCTCACTATGAGTGCAAGGTAAAAGACGCTTGACGGTACAGAATTGGCTCGTGTCGTTGTCAGAAATGATGGCTGAGTCAGAGTTCTGCTCTTTGCGAGTGACTAATCAGCGCATTTACGTCTGCTGATAAACAGCTACACCCCAGTCTGGTAATAAACCGTGAAATAGAAGCATGGTCAGCCGCACTGCGTTGTTGCCAGTTCTTACCTGTACTTTGAGTACAGTGTTATAACTAATGTTAGGATGCTCATGACCAAAAAACCCGAGAAATATGGATGCAAATATGCCCCAAAAATAGCGAAATATGACCTAATTTGGTATGAATAAATATTCGCTAAAATTTAAAAAAAGCGTTTTGTATTTCAATCATGTTATTTATTTACATATGCATGTACAATTATTACATTACTTGATTTGTTAGCAATTTTAATCAAAAACTCAGTTGCTTTTAAGTTGTAAATGCCTCGTTTTGGATCAGCATCATATTACGATAGTTGCATTTAAGTATGGACCTGAATGCCCCACTGTACCTTTTCCATGATTCTTGAATTTATATTCATATCATTTGAACGAAGTTTAGTGATCCTCATTAAAGTTCGTAACTGAACAGAATGGAGTATTTGTGTTCTAGGTTAACCGCTGTCAGTCTGTCTGTCTTTCTATTTAACCCAATAAACCAGCGGTAATTATATGTATCATCTATTTCAACATTCATTAAATGTAAATTGTAACCAAATAATTTTTAATGAGTTTCGCATGATTTTCAAAATAAGTAATATTATATTGCTAAACATCTTTAACTCTTAACTCTGGAGTCAATTATGACAAATTTCTGAAACCACGAATTTAAGTTACGTTTCAGTTTAGTTGGCTTTTATAACCTAACGAGAGATGCGATAACTCTGACCAAGCAGCACGTTATCATACCCTCAGTTCTAGGTTAGGGGGACTCCATCTCTGACCCCTGACTTCATTAGTCTCATAATAAGGTATTTATTGACTTACAGGTCTATAAAACACGTTACATTACTTCATATACGAAGAAAGACAAAACAATAATATCAAATATATTTCCAATTTATTCGTAATGAGCAGTTATTTCGTTACGAGTACTTCGTATTCTTTGAACGGTATTTCCAATCCATCGTATGGGATGTAGCAGACACGATGGCTTGGATGCACCTGGAAATGAAGAAAAGCGATTATATTACGGGGACTGCAACTTTGGAATTCTAGGAGCAAATTTTGGAAATGTAGTTAAATAAAAGCAGTAAATGTAAAACATAGAAGCAGTCCTTACAAGTGACAGGAATATTTTATAACAACAAAACTATAGTAAAATAATATCAGTTATAACAAAATAAATAAATAACAACACCACGAACAGCAGAGCAATGGAAAGCAACAAGACTGTGGGAGAAATATCTTTGTTCTACATCCAGATATTGTGGGGTTACGCATGCGCACATCACTTGCCTACCGGGCTGCCTATGTCACAGTTTACTAAACTTTGGCGGACGGAAAATATTCTATTATTTATGTCATCGTTTTCATGTTGCGTGCTCCAAAATCACGTCCATCGTACAGTCAGAGTTCTCCACGGCCATATCTCAATCTCGGTGAGGATAAAAACATTTTGTCTCCTTTAGTCAGATGATTTCTCTGCAGAAACAAGAAACTCAAACTTTTTGAAGACACGTAACACGTGTGTGTACCTTTCCTGGGGTGAGTGTGCCGTCGTGAAAAACGCGGCCCACGTACAGTCGCTCTCCGTCCTTGGTGCCGCCGACAGGTAGGGCGTTTGGCGGGACATCCCCGTCTCTCGCGGTCTGCCATATTGACTCTACGTTGCATAGTACCTGCAACACGTGGAAACCATCCACAGTTTAGAAAGCATTTACACATTCGCTTCATTAATAAGTATGCGTTGTTTAAATTTGAATATACTAATAAAAGTTAACAGGAAAAAGTGATTATTATATTTGGAGTCTACCCAAGTGCCTGGTCAGAAATGAAGGCCCTAAGATTAGACCGAGGGTATGATAATGTGCTGATTGGCTAGGTCTATCGCACACCACGTGGGGCGATATTAGATGAGTACAGAGCAATGGGCGAACGGCGGATATTAACGGGGGTCGAACGGCATTTACCTCATAATGCATAACCGGATGCTCTTGGCCGTCGTAGGAGACGTAAGCTGTTCCTTGGTTGGGAACAATTTTGGCTGGCATAATGTCGGACTCATAGAAAGTCCGTCCAACGAAGAGACGACCCCCGTCTTTGTCGTAACCTGCATGAACAGCCCCCTCTGGGACGGATCCATAAGCCGCTCCGACCCAGCAGGCACCTGGAAAAGAGTACGGACCAAATTTAGTAAGACTCGCTCGTTAGTTTGTCTCAGTACGCTGTCGATTGCTCAGACTTTATAACACCAACCGACGAGACTGTATTCGAAGGTGACTGTCTTCTAGGAAGTTGCGAGTTGTAGTGTGATGGAAATTGACCAATGTTTCGGAGGTGCTTGCTGTCTCCATCATAAGGGCAATCGACATTTATCATTACTTTTTATTAAATACATTGTCGTCTGATTTTAGGGCGATTGCTGTGATGGTGGAGGCAGTAAAACCCTCTGAAACGTTGTCATAAGTTACGGAATTTTATTAAAGCCTTCTGTGCACAGAGAAATCAAAGAAGGCAATATATTAATTAAAATCTCACATTTTTTGTAAAAAGTCGAACCCTTTCGTTCATTTACCTCAGAGACATATTTTCTGGATTCACGGGTTTTACGTGTTATCCCACTCTGTGTTTTAACACTCAATAACACTGACACAGGAGGTGCATGTAGCATGCATTGGATAAATACAATTAAAAAACTTGTTTGGAAAACTGACGGAAAACACCTCTTGGAAGATATAGACGTAGATGAGAGGATACTGAAATTAAAGTTACATCAGTAGGATGTGATGGTGTGCACTGGATTCAACTGAGTCTGGTTATGGTCCAATGGGGAGCTTTGTGAACACCGGGTTTCATAAAGGCGTGAATTTTCTTGATCAGCGGCATGATTACAAATTTCTGAAAAAGGACTTCGTCCCATGGCATTAGTATTCACAGAGTGCATGGAATATGTAAGAATACAAATGAAATTTGTCGCATGATTTGCGAGGACTGTTTTACAGTATGAACTATAGTCGGCGCAGTAGTTTTTGATCGGTGGAGAAGCTGGCGAACGGGCCTACTCTGTATTTCTGAGGTGGCACGGTTAACGTATTTCTTTTGTTTGGGCGTTCAGTCCGATAAGCTCCTCGGTGCAGTCAGCATTATACTATCTCACAAGTGACTCGCTCCTAGCCTTCCCCTTGAAAATTCCACCGGCCAAAAACTACTGCGTCGACTATACTATGTCGTTGATTCTTGGTGTTCACCTTCTACGTCACATTTCACACACTTGTGTTCACACTAATGTGGTCATCATCAAATTCAATTCCCTGCTTTTATGTCATTGCCGAGAAATAATGATAACACTGTATTAAAACGTTTTATATTAGTTAAAAAGTTAAAATTTCAAAGATGTTAAAGAGTTTTTTAAAAATGTTTGTTAAAATATCTCTGCAGAGCTTGTTGACTTCCGATGTGTTTCCTCCGTAAAGAAATTTCTTCTATTTACTAGATGTGATATGTATATATGTGTATATGATCTGCACTGCACTGACATAATACCAGGGAAGTGAACGTGTTGATGGTGACATTGGATCGAAACGTTTATTGAATCGACAGTGAACAAACAGATCGTGTGAAAAGTAACGCACAAAGGAGAAACCAAGAATCAATACAACACACCCTGAAGCTACACTACATAATTTGTGGTTATTAAAATGTCTCAGTCCTTGGTTCTTGTACCTGTTGCTAGCTTATAAGTGTGCGTTACGTAATGTTGCTGTACTTACCAGACATTGTGCTTTTGCCACGCTGATTGCAAAGTAAATGACACTCCACGGCACAGAATTGGCTTATGTCGTATCATGTATGCCTATTGTATGATATTCTTATCTTGTTTAAACATCTAAAAGTAATAACATCTGTAAATTGTACTGTTTGTTCCGGAATGTGACGTGTACATGGCTGTATTCTTGTTAAAAACTAAAATACATAAATATGTGTTTTATACGTTAATAATTCTGCAGTGGAACCTCAGGTTCGGCACTGAACAGCATGAATTATTTGTGTTCTGGGTTAACCGCTGTTAGTCGGGTGACTTTCTGTTTAACCCAATAAACCACAACGGTAATTATATATATATATCACCCATTTCAGCATTCATTAAATGTAAATTTTAACCAAATAATTTTTAATGAGGTTCGCATAATTTTCAAAATAAGTAATATAATTTCCCTAAACATCTTTAATCAGCTAGACATTCTAGTAGAGAGACCTTATCTTCTTACAGATACGACTGAATTCTTAAATATAAATTAGGCTCAGATGAAAAATGCGTAGTTTGGAGTATAACATTAAAATGGATCTTGTACAGTAAATTCGGTGCAGCGGCGTGTAACGTATTCAGGGGACTTAGGACAGGATGTAACGACTTGCTGTTGTGAACTCGGCAACAAACATTTTGCTTCATAAAAGCAGCAGAATATATTGGCCAAGCCGGTCGACAAAAACTTTTCAATGTGAACTCTTAACTCTGGAGTCAATTATGACAAATTTCTGAAACCACGAATATAAGTTACGTTTCAGTTTAGTTGGCTTTTATAACCTTTTACTCGCACAGCCTTCGGAAATATGTGTTCATTATATTAAATGTGATCAGCAAAAAAAATCCTAATTCATTTCATAGAAGTCCATGTGTGGCAGGAAGTCTATATATTTTCAATTTTATAGTCAATGTACGTCATGTCTGAACTTACGTGTTCGCCGTTCGTTTGATGCAAGAAAAATTGTAGTTAAATTCTGACGGATGCGACTCTGGTAGCGAGAAATAAAACTAGCTATGACGGTGCCTATGGCGGGGTCTGGCGGATTCTGCGTTCTGCGGCTCGTGTTTGGAGCCTGGGGTTAAGTGCTCTGTTTTCTGCTGATGCGTTTGTCAGTAATCCAGCGTCTGACTGAAAATTTGGTCAGCCACAAAATACACACACACATTCTACCACAAACCGTTACTTAACGTAATTTTTTAGTTTATTTTTCTTAATGTGACTGAACATTGCTCTTTGTTGCTAATGGCTAGATTCAACTTGTGATGTGTTTGTGAGTGTACTGGTACAAAGAACATTCATACTAGATTTTAAGGTGTGTTTACATATGCTTGTTAGTCACCAAAGACGATAGTAATAAAACGTTACTGTGTGTGAACAAGAGTCTCGTGATGTGTAGAGATTAAGTTGGTAACGCTGTTGACATAGAAACGGTGTTCAGATGTCACAAGCTCTGGTTCATGTACGCAGAATATCGCACGAGATTATAAGTTTGAAATTTGAAGACATTTCACTACTAAAATATATTGTTCTATGTTGAGATCCGCGATTAAAATATGAAGAATTAACCCACCTGAAAATTTAATTTTCGAAATTAATGAACAGATTTAGTTCAAACTGAGTATGCAGATGGAGAACTAGATGATAGACGCTCTACGTGGAGAGTAATTCAATCCCGGGTGACTTCAAGTAAGATTTGTGGTGGACGAAGGGGCGCTGGATCGGACTTCTCTCCCGAGTTTTTCGATTTTTCCCAGCTAATCATCGTCCCATCATTTCTCTATACTCATTTATCACCGCCCCACGAGATGTGCTATAGCCCTGACCAAGCTGCACGTTATCATACCCCCGTTCCACAACTAGGGGGCTTCGTCTCTGACCTGGTACTTCGCTTGACTCGGAGTAAACGTAGTTTAGTCGTTTGGTGTTAGTTTGTTATTGCACGTCTAAACCAGTAATAATATTAAGAATCTAATTAGGCTTGTGATGTTATTGGATTAGAAATATAAGTTACATTAAGAGAGGTACTAATAACATGAGATTTTTAAGTAGACTACACAAACATAATTGTTTAAGTCTGAGGTTATGAAAATACATCTGCATAAGTCATATAAATTTTGTGCATTGATACTATGTAATTTAGAAATAAATTCGAGGTCCCTTATTTGAAATTATATTGTTTTCTCCGCAATAAGTTGAATAAATTAATCAGTTACGAACAAAGAAAAAAGCTTAAAAGGTATGTTAATGCACATTTATTGATAGTAATAATGATAATTGGAAAGTACATAGACCGGATTACAATTTGCTCTGGATAACTTCGTGAATAAGGAGGTCAGTAGGTAGGAACTCATGAATATATCTTAACGCTTATAACATTATTGATGGAAATGTATGTAAAAAACGCATTTGAAAAATATGAGTACTTATTGCTGCGAACCTCTCCATTTCTGTTTATGTTGTGATGTAATAGGCCACAGAACGAACTGAACTGGGATGTAATTTATGTTGAAGCACAATAGATTTACAACAGTAGATTTGAATGTGCGATAAACGTACAAATAGGCCATTGAATTATTATCGAATATCTGAAGGCTGCGTTCCTTTCCCTCGTAACCAAATCTTGGGTGACTCAGCCTCGTCATTCATTCAACGCCACCAATAACATAAAACACAGATGAACAAATTTTCTGTCTAATATCATGATCTTAGAGATTGCCGACCATCGAGAGTCATAGTGAGTGAAGACCACTAGAGCTTTTACGGGCGTCGTAATGACAGATGTGGCCAGATTTAATGTTCGTGCTTGGTGGAATAAATCAGCAAATAAATGTGTACCTATTTGATTGGTTGCCACAAAATGGAACACACAGCTCACTCCAGGACAAATAATACAACTAAAAATTTGTACTTTGATTAAACTTTTAAAATGTTAAATTTCTGTTAATGCATCCTCATGTTGTTTGCTTGCTAGTTTTTTCCATTATCTCTTTAATCATAAGAAAGGTCTGTCGCTACAAAGAATTTTCGTACCTTACAATAAATGACACTGATGTTTCTTTCGGCCTGAAAATTTGAATTATCACTCGGCATTTGTTTTTGCTGTTGATTGCGGAAAATTTGAACATAGGATAATTGGTAATCCTAAGAGAATATGGCTAGCAAATTGGCTCGAATGTCATTCCATGTTACTGGTTAACTTGATTGGGATTTTTTTTTTAGTTTTCTACAATCTCTACAGTCGAGTTCTGAGATAAGAACTCCAAGTTAGTAATTACTCATGCAACATTCACGACCTTATTACAGTATTATATGTTGTTCTGTAATCTCTGACGTTAACACATTGTTAAATAATCTGATGGTCTTAATTAGAACGTCCAATGTAATAATATTTCACCCAATAATTATTTTTTATTTAATACGTAATTCCTATTTTAAAAAGCGAAATAAACTATTGGTTTTTAAGTTTATTAATGAATTAAGTGGAAGGCTTAAACGGAATTTACACCAACAATGAAGTGTCCAGTTTGTGAGATCTTATTTAGAATAATTACCTGTTTCCAATGTAGAAAAATTATTATTATTATTATTATTTATAGCAATAACTTTTTTAATATGTTGGGCTGCGTTGTTAAGTTGTAATGTAGTATAGTACTGAATTAAACTCTATAATACGTGCGGCCTTGGCCTCACTCTTCGCCATTAGAGAATATTTTGTGAACACATGACAAATTTAAAACAGCTGTGGTGTCATTTACCCCATGGTGCCCCCAAATATAAGGATTATTCGTCTGCTTATGCCCCAGGTGAGTTTAGAGCGTAATAACGAAATGAAAGACAACGAACGTAATGCGAACGGTCACTCACATCCCTCTGTAGAGCTGAAGTGTGTGCCCTGTAACGAGCATAACATTTTTATGATCGGGTGTATTCGCGAACTGACCCGACTTATGACGATTTCACCAAACCGGATGTAGAAACTGAAGTTCCGTTCCGTGCGTGCAAGTGATACTGACATAAAACCTTTCGTGCTTTGTAATCGTAAGCATGTTTTCGTAGTATGATAACGTTTTAGAATGTTATTGATGTGTTACAATAGTTGGGTGTACAATATTAACATAATACAAGACAAAACGCAGTGAAACACAGACTTGGCGGTTCAGGTTGTATCTTCGTCAAATCCATTGGCAGCACGTGTACTAGCCCAGGTAAGGGACCGAGCATTGCATGTAATGGAATATTTTCGAATACTAGACTGCATGTATTTGTAACTGTCAACGTTTTTTCAGTTCGATGTTACACACAGCAGTTTAGAAGGGGGATGGTGCAATTGGACTGTGTGAGCCGTTCTAGTCAACATTTCCTTATATATATGTGTGCTTTTTGGTTGTAATAAAGAGGCAGACAAAATACGAAGAAACCCATTCGGTAGTGTGCGTATTCTTGTTGCAACAGACGTCTCGTATTTTATTCGTTTCTCATTATAACTTGCTATTGTCGTTCCTAAATAGCTGAAACTTGTTTATGTTTGTGTTATATTTTCTTCTGCAGTTTGATGACGAGACGAGCGTACTTAGTACCTTCTTCTTTTACTTAAATATCGCCCTTCGTATTAGCTATTATTAAATTTGATCATTTAGTTAATCAGACCTCGAGAGAGAGATTATTGATACCGGCCTCATTATCAAGACATCACCTCATGTTTCCCATTCGAGAGGTCCCGGGTTCAAATATCGTTTCGGACACCGGCTATCCTGTCTACGGTTTTTCATGGTTTTTTTCTAAGTTTTTCCAGGCAGATGCCGGAATAGCATCTTAAATTACGCAATGACCGCTACCTTCCACGTTCTTTCCAATTCATAATTCACTGTCAAGCTCCCATTCGACGCTATGTAGTCTGGGCTCCTGAAAGCGTCGTTAAATGAACCATAAATAAATGATAAGCAAGGCTTCCCGTGTACGAGGGTAGGTGTCAGAAGAAGAGTTCTCTTGGCCATCAGGTTGGGTGAGGGTTTCGACCGTAAAATGTAACTCATTAGCCCCGAAGACATTTTATGACCGTGCAGCAGGTTAATTACTGGCAACGAGTGATAGTCATAATGCCTCTAAAATAACTCTGGTCTGGATTATGGAACCTTCGGGTGTTAACGGAGTTCTCACATTTATAAAGTAATAGCAACAATTTCAGTAAATTGAGAGTATATTTATTGAGATTTATTACAGTACAATTACTTATACTTGTTTTTAGTCTAAAAATGATCGTTTTTTTATGAGTGAGTATTAAATTAAACTTATACCAGCCTTCTTAATTAATTAGCGAAGATAAACAAATGCATGAGTTATTATAATTAAACTACAATGTGTAAGTCTAAACAGAATACTTATCTCCTCGTTTCATATAATTTTTTTTACAATGATATTCAGTTTAGTAGAGGTCTTAATAAGAATATTCGAGTAAAATACACGTGTACCGTAGGCATATATATTTCTGCCTGTCTGAAAGTTAAACAAATTACTGTCCAATAAGTTATACTCTATTCACGATGATCATGATGGGGGTCTCGGGACATACTAGTCGATTTCTTTTGGATTTAGATATGTTTTTATACAGCGTTACAGACCAAGGATCTCGCCAATATCGAAATCAATCAGAGCTTCTTCTAGCGTCGATGTAATCTTGTCTTCTAGGATGTTGAGAATATCTTGTTCGAAGTAAGGCTTTACAAGACGGATGATTGCGTTCACAATTTCATCTTGTGCACCGCCTCCTTGGACTTCGACTTCCGTATTTCTGATGGAGAAGATACAAAAATTTCGTTAGAAACTTATAAACATATAAATTCTGAAATTAATAGGACTGTGCACTCGGAAATGTGAAGTGTCTAATTCTTAAACGATGGCCAGTAACTTCCTAAGTAACAAAACTTATTTTCATCATTTGCGATTCCATTCTTGTAAGGACATATTTATAGATATAGAGAAGAATGTTTGAGTTTGTAAATTTTGTGGCGTAAGGTATTGGTAAGGTTAAAAGTAACGTGCGCACTTTTTAATGATTTTAAAGTTATTACTTACTCTCGAAATACTGTTATTACTTTTGATTTCAGATCACTGCTATTAATTATTAATACCATTGATAAAAGAACGAAAATTACACATTTTTAGCCAATAACTTTACAACGATAAATTGAAACAAGCATTTCTCCTAATGTATTGCTTCCAAGAATGAACTCTTTTGTAACTACCATGACATTCCTTAGATCGTTAATGGGAGTAAAGTTAAGAGAGGGACTTTATGTGGCAGCGTCGAATTATAGACCTTATTGCCATTCTTTCTTATGAAGCCCATGGGTAATTTCGATTTTCATAACAGCCAGATACTGGACCCTGTCCTAAGGAAGCTGTATTTAGTCCACACTGCCCCATTATTTATAAGATCAATTTTAATATCATTGTCCTATCTATAAAAACGGATCCCAAGTCGTCTCATCCATTTCTTTCCTGGAAAAAAATTGTACAAATTTATCTCGCTTGCGCCCTAATGTTAGTAGACAGATGCAAACTTAATTGACGATACACAAAACTTATCAAAGACGCCTGTCTCTTGTATTCTGTATGCATGTTACGTCCAATTTAATGTGCCTTATATTTACGATAAATGAAGGTAATGAAACATACGAAAACATCAGATAATATTCTATTTCGGACTGTAATAATCCTTTCTTTTGCAACAACAACGATAACGATATTGAATATTATCATAATGATAACAATAATGGTAAATATAATTTATAATGGTAGTCTTACGCTGCGTTGAGAACATTGAGGCTTGAAAGCGTCGTCTTGAAGGTACTTAAGTCGGCAGTGAGATGCAGCGCCAGTCTAAGGTCTTCCGCGGCGCCCAGAAGTTTTCCAGAAGGCTCTAATCCCATAACGGTTACGCGGTAATCGTAATTGAGCTGAAAACAGTGGAGCGAAATTAAGCTGAGTTTAGTTAGGTTATTAAAAGCTCTTTGTTGGCCTATACGAATATAATGCTGTGATCGGAATGGAATCATCCCAACTTACAGTACCTTACATTAATCCACTTACACTTAACTAACTCTATAAGCAAAATCTCTTGAGAAACCCATAATCGCTTAGCTGGTCAGGGAGTTCTCAGCCTATTATACAATTAATTATCATGTTCAGTGGAGTACGACGCTGGACCTGTCCTGAGCCAGATTAATCCAATCCACTTAGAATATGTAACCCTTTCCATGCTACGAATGAGATAGGTATAACGCTCTGAAAATCCATCGACTTTGCCCATCCCCCCCATACCAATAATTTAAAACAGCATTAGTGACAGCAACATATGCTGACAGGTGAAGCTGCTTGTTTTATCAACATAATTGATTAATAATCATCGGTGTTCATAAAGTTATAGTCGTTCAGCTGGTCAGGGAATTTTGCACCTTTTACGGACCAGCAAATTATGTAACTGCTAATTATGCTGTTTCCCCACCCACTGTTCGCTTCCTGTGTCTTAGTTCCAGACATTTTTTCTCAGCTTCCGGTCTTCAGAGAGCCTCTAGCTGTACGCTTTCTTTGGAATTTTCTCAAAATTTTGCATGAAAAATTTAAAAGTAATATCCAGCGTTAATTATACAGTGCGTATACTGATAAAGTTGATCTCAGCTGTCGCTTCCCGGATCCCTGCAGAAACTTCTGTAAACAGGTAGCCGATTTTATTCTGTTTGTGGTGTGAAACGTGACTCGTAACAGTAAACCGTTGTTGCTTTCGTGTTCCAGTGGTTGCGTTCAACTTTGTCAGTTAACGCACTGTATTTTATTATTAACTTGGGGGAAAGGGGGTGACAGTGTTCCGCGAGTCGTAGTTTGCCCATCCCTGCGCCAGTGTCACGGAAAATCCCTGTGATGACTTCTCGTGCCAAGATTTCGAAATCTTTCAGAAGTTTCTGTACGCCACAGATATAATGTCGAAGGCTGGTGTGGGGAAGCAGAGGGTGGAATCGGATTTCGTGGATTATGGACAAAGTATCTCTCTCTCTCTTTCGGAACGCGTAGTAGGTACTAAATGCGAATTAAAAGACGTCGTTTCAACTGGCTGAAGAATTCTTCCCAACATGTTGGAGCCAGTTCAGAGCAAACCAATATAAAGAAGATTCCTTTTATAAGTTTCAGCCGTGGTTATTGAATATTGGAATATAGTAATTATAAAAAAAATTATTTTACATGCTGATAACTTATAAGTTAAGAAGTATAAACGTAGTGATGCTAGGAATTTGTGAATATAATTTTTTAAAACAGTATAATATTGCGTAAGCCATCACATTATAAAATATAAGATTTACATGAGATATTTATGTGGTGAATTGTGTGTGTGTGTGTGGGTAAGGGGGTTGCGTCTCCATAACAACAGTTCGTTTCAGTATTGTTTACTAAAATGTAATCCAGTTTGGCCGTAAATTCCATTTAACTTTATTGAATTAAATTTTAAATTCGTTAAAATGTTAAAATTAAAAGATAACGTTTTTATCTAAGGCTATTACTACAAATTTATTTCTAGTCTGATATAAGTAGCAAACTCTTTAGTCGGATATTATTCTCATAATTTGATCGATTGATCGATTAGAGAACCTTACACTGTTCATAATAGGCGAGACTGCAAAATTCCACTCAAAATATGGTTGTCACAGCCAAAGAAGACACTCTCTCAGTGACAAAAACGTGTTTTTTTCTCTTTCTGTAAGACATACAGATCCAGCCTTTTCTAGCTGAAGGCGATTTCCCATCTTTGTGCCCCATTCTGGCTATGGGGTTTGTCTATTTGATGGGTCATTGTACATAGTAGAATTCAAACATATCAGCATTTGAATTGAGGTTTCCCGCTCCTTGTCTCAGACGTCTACAAAATTTCGCCTCACGAAAAGGGAATACGTCACCGTAAAAAATATGTACCTACATATAAATTCGTGCCCTGTAAAAATGCAGGCATATGAAAATAAAGTATGTTAAATAAAACCATCGATGATGAACCAGTGTGTGTGTATTACGAAAGATAGAATATTACTATGCGAATATACAGTTTCTTATTAAAATTCGCCTCCCACCTGAAAACGTATGGCGGCAAACCGGTTGTGGATCATTACTCAACAGAACTGCGATATTACGAGACTTCAGCTCGGATGCAATCAAGTGTCAGATAACTTACATGGAGCGTGTTGAAGTCAAGGTTTGTCGTGATGTGCACCAAGTCGCCGTCGAACTGCACATCTGCTTCACCAGATCGCACCATCGTCTTCAGATCTCGCAGCCAGCCATTCGTGAGATACAGAACACCATCAAACTTCACTACCCAGATCTCCTACAAATACATATAAAGATTACGGTTAGGTTGGGTTAGATTAGGTTAGGTTAGGTTAGGTTAGGTTGGGTTAGATTAGGCTAGGCTAGGCACAATGTGACGAACAGAATAATGTTAACCAGTTTTGTTGGTGCTGGGACATCGTAAAGGTTTGCAGTATTTTTACTCCCAAGAATCGAGATCTGTTTAAACAATCATAATTATTCTGAAATTGTAAAGAAAAAGAAAGCGAATTAGTAGTTTGGTGTTAATTCAAGAATGAACTGCTGGATAATTTTTATTGTACATCTGGAGCTGCGAATTTAATTATTTTGTGGGACATACTGTAGAAAATTACATAACGAGGAGTTGCATAGTTATATTCTTTAGGAAATATTATTAGAGTTATCAGATCAAAGAGAATAAGATGGGTGAGTCATTTAGCACGCTGAGATGAGAAATACGCGAACAATTTTAGTACGGAAGCATGAAGGGACGAGACCACTTTGAAGACACAAACATAGGTTGGAGGGTAATATTAAAATGGATTTTAGGGAAATATGGTTTGGAGGTGTGAATTTAATTGGTCGGCTCAGGATTGAGCAGTGGTGGGCTGTTATGAACATGGTAATCAACCTTCTGGTTCCGTAAAATATAGAGAATGTCTTCACTAGGTGATAAACTTGTTTCACCATTCTCATGTATTATAACAACCAAGATCTTGAGTCTGTGGTTTGTGGCTATTTGTTGCGACTCACCAAAGTGAAATTCTTTCTGGCATCAGGCAGAACCAGCGGATCCACCACGTGCTGCCGCAGGAGTTGTACCACTGCATCCGCGATTACGTTGGCTGCTGATCTGACACGTTCTGCGACCATGGAGGGACTCCTACTTAAAAGGAACGACAAAGATTCAGTCATTAATCTCAGTTAAACTTTCTTCTTCGTTTACTTATTTCGACAGATTCGTTCCGAAAATACTGATTATAATATAAACATTCAGAAAATAAGTTTACAAATCTGGAAATAAATGCATTTTATTTAAATTTGGCTTTTAGGTGTGAGCTGCGTCGAATGGTATTGGTATTGTTTAACTATTCCGAAAATATTGGTTGTCAATTTTACCTTTGAAATGGCAACTGTAAAATTTTTCAAAACATTGATTAATAGTCAATATTCCACAGGGCCAACATCCGGAAGACTAATTTATACTCGAACTCTAGCGGCGAAAACCTCAGGACAAGAAATGCGAGAGATCGTTATATCGTGCATACGTTTTGACGGGTTATCGAAAAATATAAACTAAAATTGCGTGTGTGTGCTCGATGAAGCTCCATAACGGATACACCGATAGTGACCAAGGCTCGAAACCTATTGAGGATGGTTTCTGAACCTTTGAATCTAAGCGTACTAGAAAAAAGTAGCCAAACCGAAGTTGTTTGCTTTGGCGAGGACATTACAGGAACAATAGGCACACAGGAGTATAACACGTCTAAATTTAAATAATCTACAGACAGCTACTTTTTAATTATGTAACTCAGTACAGCCTGATGAGATTACAAAACAGGTCGAAACAAGTTTTTCCAGCGGTGAGTATGAAGATTTCTGTCTTCTGGGTTGTTGCGCTGCATCGCCCTGATGACGGAGGCAGTATGACCTACGAAACGTTGGTAAACATGTACCATACTACACGGCGCAACAACCCAGAAGACAGAAATCTTTAGGTCGAAACAAGATTTTACTGAAACACTGTAAAAGTTTTCATGAATGTGAGACAAACGTTACCTCGGTTCCAGATCCTTGACACTTGCTGTCCAAACGCCATAACTCAGCATAGAGACAACAGAGATGAATAATACTAATGCAGGCTTCATTTCGACTTTTGTGGGGTCTCAGAAGTTCCGCTTCTTGAATAATGGAGCTGAACACACTTGTCCAGTATTTATATCTCAAAATCAAATATATTCACCAAAAGTGTTTAAGCGCAAGAATGTTCTAAGTTCACATTTTAGTATCAATCTTCTGATAACGTAGATTAGATTGCAAAAATCTTGATTGTTTAATTGCACTCAGGAAATGTGCTGGATGAATTCATAGTTTGATGAATTGAATGCGTGGAGGAACTTTAAATTATAGAAGAAAGTTACATGGATGACAAACCTTTCTTTTGTACCAGGTCCTTGTTGAATGTTCATCACTGATATTCGTTTTTGGAGGTCCCGGGTGTGAATCTAAATAGTAACTGAATCTTGACTACGGTTTATCTTGGTTACTCTCAATTCCTCGAGGCGTAGTGCACGCCACAGCCAAATCCTTAACATTATTTACAATAACTAACAGTCGTTCATTGATTTGACTCTGGGGTTGTAAGACGCCTTCATATAAACAAGGACACTGAACAGCTTGTCATTCAAGTATACAGTTTTCTCAGGTAATAAGAAAAATGGCTTACCGAGTGTTCATAGACTAATAATTTACAAATTATTCATCTGGTCCACATCTAATAATTTGCTTATAAGATGATAAGATGGACAGTTTTTGTTCTATTGTCTGTCTACGAAACACTACTTTATATTTACAAGAGTGAAAATGTATACTCTAAATTTTAAGAAGCGTTTAAATGTTTAGGACCTCAATTTTGAGTGTTTCATACCAACATTTCTTTACGATTAGCTGTTTATGATGAATTTGGTACAGTTCGATTTTATGGGAAACATAATTCAAATCGGTTGACACCACTAATATTAAGTTTTATCGGGATCTGATCTGTATTTTTATAGATGAAGTACGCAAACGAACGGACATGACGTTGTATTATACATCCATTTTTTTAAAGAAGCTACCTCGAGAATTTTCATAAACCAGCGACACATATGTCAGGAACCATGGCCTCGATGCTTGACGACACATGTCAGGAACCATGGCCTCGATGCTTGACATTAATATTGAGAATTATGATTTATTTCGTATTATCTTCTTACACTTAGTTCACTCTTGTTGTCAGGAGCTTACTTCTTGCTATTGGTTACGTATCATTTGATGGCAATCGATATTAAACCACTCCAAAATGTGACGTAGGGAGATTTCAAAGTATTGCAGCTCTTTCATTTGATACTACGAATCAGTTACAGGTCTAATCATTTGAATTCGTTAGGCCTTATATTTTTATATTAATATGACATAGTAGGTCTATGTTGTGATCTGTTCAACCTAAAAATTCTTGGAATAATCACGACAGCCTTCTCATTGTTTCTTGCCAGTGTAAATTTCAGTATTGTTTCGGCCTTTCCAGTCTGTTTCAACGCATATTTGGCAAACTTTTCCTCGATTCTAGGATTAAACCAAGGAGAGCCAAATCAAACGACAGCATCGGCGTCGATTTTTATTTCTGTCTGGTTTGGTATCTGTATTGTCTTCTGTTCTGAAACGTATCACACATCATTCCTCGATTTAGAAGCCTCTCCGAAGACGGAGGCGTCGTTTTCCTGGTGTTTCGATGCCTACTTATGCCCTTCTAAATGTGTCATCTCATAGTTGACATAGTTTTAGTTAAGGACTAAGTGACTTAACGTATTAGAAGAGCACTATATATACGCCTTAATTTTATAAAAAAACTAGCTCTGCCAGAATTATACGCTGCAGCGTATAAAATGCTTCTGCAGTGAATGAAACAATAAAGGTTTCGTACTTCGCCAATTGTTCTGAGGCATTATACCGAGTGTCTGGTGACTTTATCTCAGGAATTGAGGCCACTCTTCGGGAGAAAATTCCCTGTCATATACCTATGTTGTGTGAACATACTCATAAGCCAGATTCTCTACGGTTACAGAGTTAGGATGTTTAGAATTCAATATGATTTGAACCTTACGTAGAACATCAGTGTCATTATTACGTCTTGTAGCATCGAAAATTTGATAGCGTAGTTCTCATCTTATTTTTAATTAGCATTTATACACCGCGTTTTTCAAGTCTCAGCACCCATGAAAATCTAGTAAGGTTCCTCGACCGCAGTGCCCAATTCTGCAGACCACAGTGACCAATCCGTCGGTAATCCAACTGCTCGTTCGGGTACTCCGTTGCGTGCCTGATAAAATGTAGGATGCCCCGTCATGATGGAGGTATATCTGTAATTGTGTTTTGTGCCGTTCGAATCAAATAATTTTTAATTTGTATCCATAGCAACGTAAACGTTGAGAATTAGACTCATGTTCGTTCAAAAGACGTTTCTGTATGGGAATAACTTCAGGAATAAAATCATGAAATATTGACATAAAGCCGCTTTTACTGTGTATGTGGTCCACAGATCAGGAATAACTCGTTCTACTGTCTCCAACAAAATGTGAAATCGAAGAAGATCGATTCAAAGAAACGTAGTGGTTTTTTTATGGTTTTAGAGCTTTTACAGGCCTAAACAGATGATGGATAAAGTCCAAAGGAAATAAAGTAGTAGTAATACAAGACCATCGCTAAAAGCATTCAGAGAATAACTCGTTTTTTGTCTTACCGATGACGGAAATGGTGATTTCATACGAAAATCATGGAAATGATAAGTGTTATGATTTCTGTTTGAGTGGGTGAGTCATCTCACATCGTATGTGTGTGGATTACTTGGAATTTGGACACTTGTTTACGCATTATATAGCTCAAAACAATTTCCAAGTAGGGAGGATGTTTATTTTTTTCTTTTAAATGATAAGAAATATAGGCGTTAATTGTTAGATCTACTTGCTGTTATCATTAGCAGGATATGGAAAAGCAGATAATACGGCGGCGTGTATTTCAGTTTGTTGACACATGGTTTTCAGGTTACACAAAAGTAGATAGACTTACTGGAATTTAATTTCTATTAGATTAATTGGTCATACACTTGAAAATGTACAATTAATTTGTTATCAAAAATTGTTTTGATCAGTCTTCAGGATAGTAAATTCTCACTCTGCATCAAAAGTAAGCTGATTGAAGCTGTGAGTGAAAGAAGGTACAGTAATAAGTTTATTTATAAAGCTGACTTTGTTCCACTTCAGACTGTAACCAAAATAGAATTAGCTTATTGTACCGACACATTGGAATTTTCAAAAAGTAAGATATTGTCCCCCAACCCCCAGAACAGGGGTTTTCACCCTTTTACGCTGGCGTACCACTAATTCTAATTCAACACATTAAATGTACCACTTACCAAATGCGTTCAGGGAAAACTTATTTATGTTAATATTATCTTTTCATTTTCTTCCTTAGTTTGCGTATCACTGAACATTGACCCGCGTACCTCCAGTGGTACACGTACCGTAGGTTGAGAAACGCAGCCTCTTAGAATTAATCTCATCGGCACTGTTTCACACAAAAGAGAATATAGCCAGAGCAGTTAAAGATTGCTGTCTTCTGGGTTGTTGCGCCGTGCAGTCTGGTAGATGTTTACCGACGTTTCAGAGGTCCTTGCTGCCTCAATCATCGCCCTGATGACGGAGGCAGCATGACCTCTGAAACGTTGGTGGAAATCTACTAGACAGCGCAACAACCAAGAATTCAGCCATCTTCAGACTCACCATCGTGAAAACCTCAAATCCTACAGAGCAATTAGTTTATAGACACATTTTTGATTTGATTTTCTATGTATTACGAACGCTGCCTCGTGGAACAATTTCCCCGCCTTAAAGACTAAACAGCAGTTTGAGGTTTTATTCTGCTTTTATTGTTAATACTTGAAATTCATGTCGTATGCTACAGTAGTTCGGCACGCACCTGACAGTTGTCGCTACGGAACGCCTGGCGTGGGCTGCGTGAAACGAAGCTCATACAACGAGAATAAAATTGAATAAAAACGAGAAAGTGAGGTCTTGAATCTTAAGCTCCTTAAATTAGACGGCAAAGGAGGACACGTCGTAGGCTTAATCAACGCGGCGCCAAAACTTTTAGGGAATCAGAATTATACCATATAAAATTGTTCTTTTGGACTTTGTTCATCGTCTAAATTATAAATTTAAAACGATTCGGAAGCTTGATTCGGTTTCCATCTTCAGGTTAAGAAGGAAGAGGGGGGAGGGAACGGAAAGCCTGTTTCTTGGGCCCCCTGTTTCAGCTAGCCTCATATTTGAGGCTAGTAGTAGTTTTGTAATGTTATAATCTAGACCAGTGGTATTCAACCTTTTTTGTTCGCGTACCCCCAGATATAATTTCTCTTCAACTTTGTACCTCCAAAGTTGTTGGTGTATAATTCAAGTTATACATAGTATATAATGTACATCTAAAATAAATTAAATAAATTACATTACTGATTATTCATTGTTTATCATAAAATAATATATATTTTAAAAAAACGCCAAAAAAATACATATAAAGCACGACCGTCAGCCCCCCCCAAAAATACATATAAAGCACGACCGTCAGAAACCTTCACACTTCGACTAGAAATTTAGCGCCACTAATTCTTAACCTCGATATTAAATGGGCTTCATATTCCGATCGCTCTACCACCGCGGAGATGCTGGGTGGATGTAGGTTTTAATGCCTTTTTAGTATAAAAACGAAGGCACAACGAATTAAGTAATATTGTCTCGATAAAACATATATCGGTGCAATCCAAATTATTTAATAATTTGTTTAATTCAAAACGTATTCCAGTGTAAGCCGAATTAAATAATACTGCATTTCGTCGAAATTTATTTCAATGTAGGTGGCTCGATCTAGCTGCAAGGGTTGAGTGGAGTTATGAGTCCGGAAGTCAGATCGCATGTAACCACAAATCGGCCTGTCATGGTGTTTTGAAATGTGGCAGATGGAAAACTGGCAAAATACTCGTAGTTCTGTTTCCACTAAACCACAAACTTCCGAAATTAGAGCATTTTCAACGCTGACTTATAGAGGATACAAATTTTAACAAAATGCATGTCGGGG